AAAAAAAAAGTGCGAACGATCACAGCTAACGAAATTATTCCTCTGTGAAAAATGCCATGCTTGTAAAGTATTTGTTTAAACAAAATATTCTGTATTTTACTGTTAATTTGAATATTAAGATATTTTTAATGATAAATTATAGGTTCATAAAGAGGGGGAACTGGCATTAAAAAGTTAAATTCATCACGTTTATCATAAAGTTTAGTTGGTAGTGTGCCGTCGATGTCTTTCTCTGGTAAAATATCCATAGTTGAAGCAGTCATGTCAAGGTTTTATATTTCGATTTCTGTGGGTTGTATCGGATTATATCGAATCAACGTATTAATGAATAATTGGAACCTTCAACATCTTCATGAACATATCAATTCGCCTGATCACTGTATTCTTTCAATGAGGGTTAGAATTTTGGAAAAGGTATATTATCCGACCAATAGTCCTACTTTGGATACTCCAGTCCGTAGACATCGAGAAGAATACTGGATCAGGAAGCTAGGCAAGGCTTATGGTTGAAACGACTAATTAAATTATGTATGAAATATCTCACGCCCACAGTCTGCGAATGTGAATGTGATGGGACTTTTTACAATACACCTAGGCTTAGGCTTGTACATCGATCATACAATAAACCAAATATACATGATTCTTTTGATTCACTTTTGCCTTACGCCAATAAACAATTAGGCCTTCATCACATTCGCACTAAACTCTGCTTGGTTCGCTTGAAATTTTTGAATGGACTATTTAAAGAAGATAAAGCAAGTCCATAGTTTGAGTCTTCAACTGCAGAATACAAGCTCGTGTTTGTGATTATAAATGTTGGCCAGTAGGCGTGTCGGAATATAATTCCGACTCAACCTGTCGGCTCCTTAAACTTAATTTTTCTAACTTTATGAACATTACTAGTATTTTTATTCATAAAGTCCAGTCTTGCATTCCATCGTATTTCAAGTTGAAGTCTACACCCTGTATTAATTTTCTACAAAATGCTTTTAAACTTTTCAATTATAAACACACCTTCCAGTGCCTAGACATTGAACAATTAAACAAAATCCTCTTAAGTGTTCTTGCTCTTCCTCTTCTTTCAACTATAGTTCCACTGGACATGTCATTACTGGTAATGTTAATATAGTTGAAATTGACGACCTAAAAGCAATCATTTTAAAAGGTCCTAAAACAGGGAGAAGATTATGCTAGACGTTGGGCTAATTATAAAGGGAAGACCTGACCACGTTGTCAGAATGAATTAATTGTTTTAAAAATATATTAAAGAATCATGTAGAAAGTTAAAAGGCAACATGCGAACCATTTTTCCTTCTGTTTTTCGTAAATCGGAGGTGATAAAAGAATCAGAAAGACTAGATGAACAATACATGTTAGTTATGGTTCCAGCAGACAAGGCTTGTAACAATATCGTCTTTGTTTGTAAGGCTCATTATATTATAACTGTATTTTAGGGGAAAAAAATTAATTCTACATTTGGAACTCCTACTTACACTCACCAACTGTAGGCCTTTGTTTTAATACTAAATTTGACTACAGAATATTCCTTGTACCTTGATCAATACATAGGTGTGACCGGTCAACATGGGATGTTTACTTCTCATAGGCACCTGATCCCATCTCTGGAATTTCCAGGAGTACGTGTTATATGCCCTGTTCACAGATTTGTATTGTTTGTAGGTTTTCTTGGATCAATCACTGTTCGTTTTCTGTGATATTGATCTTATTAAAGAAATTGTTAACCCATGTTAATATAATATTACAAAACGCTTATGTAACTGTTTAGATATATATATAAAAAATGGACTTTGAAGGATCGAGTGACTTTGTCTTGAGTGTTTGGCCAATATGATATTATTTAGTCATCTGTTGGTTGTCATTTGACTTGGTATCTTGATTGTGTACCAACTTGGTGATATCCATAAATTGAATTGATAGTAAAATTCTCTCTCTCTCTCTCTCTCTCTCTCTCTCTCTAGATTTTAAACTGTCTTATGTTGTGAGTTTCTGACGATTCTTCCCAAAGCCTAAGAAAAATATTGTTATTTGGTAGTTTATTTTTTTCGTATTATAGGTAATGATAAATGCATTTCTTTTCATAATGCAGAGTCTTTGATCGGACTAAAGGTATATATTAATATTCAAATCTTTGTGTTTCTGTAAGTAAACCGTACCCTATCTAAACTGTGAAAAAAAACCCATTAAACTTCTATACTTTAAACATTATACAGGTATTAAGGCTTGCACTGAACTATTCTCTAGGTTAGATTTCTGTCAGGGGTAGCTGGTCATTAACATTACCGAATATAAGTACTTCAGTAAAGTGAAAAATGTGAAAATAACGATCTATAAACAATAAAAATCTGTGAACAGGACATAAAACATGGACCCCTGTAAATTCCAGACGTTGATCAGGTGCCCATGAGGAGTAAGCATCCCCTATAGTCAATTTCCCCCCAAACATTAGATACTCAAATTTATTTCTGTAAGAAGCAACCACATTATTGTAAATTCTGTCATTTCGTTGCAAACATTGTCCCCTCTTCTATTAAATTCATATCAAACCAATTAATGCTTTGTATATTTTATAATCTCTGATAAAGCTAGAACGTGCACAGATATAATAATATTTCGTGTAGAGCCAGCACATATCACATGTATGGTAGCTGTTCCCTTCCCCTCTAATTATTGCGTCCAAGTTGGAATTATATTTCCTTCGTGTAAAATGTACCCCCTTGCTTCATCATGAATTATCTAATTATAACATGACATGATTTAATTATGCTGTAACTTTTTTTTAGCGGTAATAATATTTAAGCGTTTTTGCGATGCTTCTAAGTACATGATAATATAGATTTAATCAAATACTTTTAAAAGTTAAGTTCAAAATGCGCTACTTTATCAATACGCTAACCAGTTGATGAGGAAGATAGCGCTTAATTTTGAGTGCACTAACTTACGTTCATATTCAGTATATGCTTCAGGCCAAGGAAACAGAGTTTGCATTTAGAAATAGAGAACAAGGAGAATTTGCAGGGTGCTTTAATATTGCAGACAGTACTTTGATCGGATAAAATGCTAAGAAAGCAAGCATGTGTAAGCATGACCATTTCTCCATTTTTTAATATCAAATTAATCAATTGGATTTCTAAATCGATATTCCATTTTCCAAAATGTACACACGTTTTTGTTCACTAGTCAAAACAGTTAGTAACCTCAAAGACTGAGATAGGATTTTCATTGTTGCGGATCTTGTAAAAACTAAATGTTTTGTAGTACAGAAATTCTAATGAGAGGATATGGCGCCAGACCGAGTATGAAATGTATCGGGAGAGTATTTTTGAGACACTTATCCCGTTATGATTTTGATGTTACAATATTGTCAAGAGTGCTCCGTGGAGACAAAACATTGAGATTTTAGAATTATAGGAAACATGATTTCCATTGATTCACAAGAAATGAAACTCCAAACATTAAGGTTTTGCCAAAGGTCAAGATGTCCAAAAATTTATTTTTACAATAGCTCCAAAACTACGTGAGGTATAAAGTTAAAACTTTTACAGTTTATAAATATATCATTGATTAACAGATAGAAAGTATCACTTGAAAACAAATATTTAAAAAAATATATTTTTTAAGAAAAAAAATTTCAAAAAAATTTGCATATTTTTAACAAAAATGCACCTTCTTAATTCTGTACTTTTAATAAAAACCATCATTGCAGAAATAATGTACATGTATGTTTATCAATGAAGGGCAAGTTGGACGTGAATGGTCTCTGAAAGGCTGTTATTGAAAGCATGACATGTATAAAGAAAAGACTCCTATACAATCCGCCATTTGCAATGTACTTTCGGTTTCAAATCTTAACATTTGGACAAAATAAACAGGGAAAACAACTTTCCAGAGGCTATCGAAGTCCAACTTGCCCTTCATTGATAAACATATATTGTTTCTGCAATGATGGCTTTCACTAAAAGTACGGAATTAATTAGGTGTATTTTTTAAAAGTATATGCATTTTTTAAAAAGACTTTTTCTCGATAAATATTTTTTTTATTAAGTATTTGTTATCAAGTGATACTTTCTATCTGTTAATCAATGATATATTTATAAACTGTAAAAAGTTTTAACTTTATAAACCACAAAGTTTTGGAGCTATTGTAAAAATAAATTCTCGGACATGTTGACCTTTGGCAAAACCTTTAAAAAATATTTACATATGATAATGTGCTGAATTCTTAAAAAAAAAATAATATAACAAAACTGACACTGTCTGCGAACAGTCATCGTATATTTATGAAATAACAGGACATCATGGCCTAAGAAAAAAAACTTTAATTACAAGACAGTCTATTGACAAATAAGTTAATGATTCAAAGATACATGTTTCAACAATGACGTTCAAAGTTTACATGGTCGATACATTGAATTTTTTTTTTTGCAAATACAATCTGTCGTTGTGTCGAATATTGACTGATTATTAGACCATTATTTTCACACTGAATTTACTACGAATTTTTCCGCTTACCCGATTCACATTATGGCACGCAGCGTGTGTGATTGGCAGGGGATGCTTACTCCTCCATGGCATCTGATCCCATTTCTGTTTGCAGAGGTCCATGTTGGCTCTGCTCTTTGTATTGTTTAAATACTACTTTTGAGAATTATCACTGTTCAACTTCACATTTCATTTTCAATATTCTTTCAACCACTAATTTTCATTTTCAATATTCTTTCAACCACTAATATTTCATTATACATTACACTGCGTCTATGTTTCTTAAAGAATACATTAGATATATAAATCAATGGGGTTTGATTGTCAGAAAAAAGAAATAAAGGAATAACTTTAGAATATTTGAAATAAATAAAAGACTCATTTTAATCTCCTCATTTAACAAGCAAGCAAAATACTGAGTAGATGGTTTGTTTATAAAGGAAGTAAAAAGGTACATGTAACTGTTAGCACCCGCCGATAATTTAAAAACAAAGTAATTGTTATTTTATTTCTCTAGAAATAAGACGTCTTGTATACACAATTTTTACATATCTAAGAGCTGATAATACATCAGGAACAATTATTAAAGCAGCCATAATTAACAGAAGTGTCACCCAAACACTCCCAGAAGCATTGGTAGAAGGACGAAAATCTTTCACAGATATCTTTTTTCTCAGAGCAGCCGAAGTTTCTAGAACAAGAAGTTCTTCTCGCATCTTCTCGATCTCTCTGATCAGTGCTTCATCACTAGTGTTTGTATACTTTGGCTCATGCACCATATTACAGGGACACATGCACTGTCCTAAAGCTGTCACAAAAGAAGCAATTATGAGAGATCTATATTTTTAACGATATTTTAGGTGGACGTAACTAAACATACTGGTGACTTTTGAATTCCCATGCCATAAATTGACATATCTTACACATGTATTATAAAATTAATGACGCTTGTGAGTAAAATTCATTTACTTTGGTGCGATTTTTCTTTTTTTTTCTAGAAAACTTCTAAATACCTGTGCAATTTGGAGGTCTTCCATCCCATTCTCCATAAGAAGTACATTTTCGCTGAAGACTGCCGTTTGCTAGAATATACCCTTTGTTGCATTTATAACGCACTGTTCCATTTATAGATCGGTTTATGTGTGTAATTGTGCTATTTGGTGCCTCATCAAGCTCTGGACACAGGATTTCTTTGGTAGAAAATACAATTGTTTTAAAATCCCAGCTTTTCATAGATATATATATAAGAAAAAAGAAAGAAACGCACAAATAATCGGAAGCTCTCAAATTGATTTTACGGTTATTCATAACTGAATAATAGTAGAGAATCTGTGAAAGTAGATGCATACATGTACTTATACTTATTGCCTTGATTTCCAAAAAAAAAAATCTTTCTACGAGAAAAATAGAATTATGAAATTTAATCGATTTTGATGATAATGAAGTTTGTGTTTTATTTTTCGGCTTGTGTCTGTTTATGTCAGAGAGTGAGTGTGTGTGTTTCTGTGTGTGTAGGTTTTTGAATTATAGGTGGACATTAAACTGTGAAAAAAACTTGGAATGGCATTATTTTATCTTTACATTTACCCAAGCACAAATTATCCTTTTATTCCTGTCTACCAGGATTCCGAATTAATCAATAATGAAATACAGGATTGGGGTCAATTACTTTGAGATGTAATTAAATATGTACTTTAAAATACTTTGATAATTTTGTGAATTACTTGCAATTACAATTACATTGATTTTAACAAACGTAATCAAATGCATATCAATTACTTTAGTTTTATTTCCAAAAATTTGAAGAACATATACATGAATATTTTGAAGCTGCAATTTTATTAAATTTGACCTTTCTTATTGCCCTGGGCAGTGCTTTTATGTTGTACAAACATTATAAGGCATTTAGTTATTGAATAAACGCAAACCCATGACAACAAGTACTGGTGTGCATCATGATAAAACAACTTTTTTAAATATGTACTTGAAAAATAAAGTATTTGAACTGTAATTGAAATGTAATTACATAAATACAAAATACGTGACTTTTTTGGAATGTATTTAAATACATTCAATTACTTATAATTGAAAACAAACTCAATTACAAATACTCTCAATTACTTTGAAAAAATGTATTTAAATACAGTAAATTACAATTACTTATTTCTATAACCCCAACCCTGGTGAGATACATTCAATATTTCTAGACACTCATTGTCTATTACCAGACATGGGCTAAACGATCAAAGTTTTAAAAAAATCTTAGCTTGGTTATTTTCATAAACTTTTTTTAATCTGACATTTTTGAAATGGAGTTCAATTTTAGCTTCAAAATCAGTGAAACAATAACATTTCTTAGTAATGATTCTTGTTATTTTTCCTTCGATAACAAAAAGCTTTTGTTTCTCGTAAATACAGTTGTACATGCTCACCTGAGCAGCTGAATGGTGCCCCATCCCAACTTCCATTTACGAGACAGGTGCGTTTGAAGATAGATACAGACGCCGCTATATAGTACCCGGGGTTACAGGAGAATGTAGCGATAGTGTTAAAGGGAACACCAGACATCCCAATATTCGTCATGGAGTTGTTGTTCGACAATGTAACGATGCCATTTTCTGGATTTTCTATTACTGGACATAATATTTCTGTAAACACGAGTAAAGTTTAGGTAATAAGACCAAGGTAATTAAAATATGTGCATATAATTTATCAATTAAAAAAAGGAAATTCTTTTTAAATAGCTCATGAATATTCATTGTAAAAGCCCGCTCTTTCTTTGGCTCGATCTATCTCTCTATAGACATTGGAATAGATGGAAAGAAAAAATATTTTAGAAAGAAAAAATATTTTGTTTACATTTAGAATGAAAGTATTTACCAGAACAAATTACAGGATCTCCAACCCAAGTTCCATTGTCCAGACATGTGAGATTTGAATCTCCACCAGATAACTGAAACCCGGGATTGCAGTAGAAGTAAGCTGTTCCACCTACAGAGGTGTTCTGTATGAGACCTCCATGTTGAGGAGGAATCAGTGATGGACAGTAAATTTCTGTAGGAAAACAAGTCTTAATTTGATGCCGCAACTAGCACTACTATGCAAGTTTAGTGACAGTTAGCACTTTTGTAATCTGATACTATTACTATTAGTATCAATACTATTGGTACTAATACTTAATAGGTTTGTTACTGACTGTCAACAGAAAGTTTTGTCTCGTACTAGAATTTTGCTCTGTCATTGGATAAAGGACGTCATGTGCCTGCAGTTAATATTTCTTTGGACGACGAGTAGCAAAGTTTGGATGGCAACATAGCAGGTTGTTCAAGTCCATAGGCGCCGCAAGCCCTATGCATTGGTAGACGGAATATTCCTAAGTCAAATTTAGTATAAAGACAAGGGCCTAACAATCGATATGAATACTACCCAATGAGAGGTTTTATTTGCTGACAAGATCATTATAACAACAATTTATAAAATGTTGACCTAAGACGAGGTTGTTGAAATTCCTGTAACATCAACTTATCTCTCAGTAGCCTGTCCCAGTTTCAAAAATTGATTGTATTCAGAGCATGCTCTTGAGTATCAAGTTTGGAGACATAAACACCAAATGATAGCGGAAAATTACTACATGAATAAGGAAAGTTGACGATAGAAAAGCTGAAGTGATCTCGTTTGTCATACAGTTTATTATTTGTTAGTTTGCCATTATCGTCAAGTTTTTTCCTATGATTGGGTTGTGTTAAAGGAATGCTGTACGCGCGCTTAATTGATCTTTACCAAAGCCCTTGCTAATATACCAAACTACTAAAAATCAACAGATGGTTATTTATAGAGTTAATACATGTATTATCAACACAAATTTATTGTATCTATTTCAGTTCCATTGTAGTACCTGAACATACTGGGGGATCCCCGCTCCAAACACCATCCAACATGCAAGTTCTGCTCAAGTTTCCCGCGGAATTATGGAAGCCAGATAAACAGCTGTATTGTATGGTTCCATTTACTCCATTGTTTACTTCCACCACAATAGCATTTAAAGGAGTAAATGTATCTGGACACAGTATTTCTGTGGAATGAACATGTTGAGATGCACACAATATAAGGTGGAATTAGCTAATTAGCTAAATTAATCATGTTAATTTTACATATGTAAGGAATTCTAAATTTTCTCTTTTTTTTAAACCTTTGGTAGCCTTTGCATTAAGTTCTCTCAGTTTATGATTTTCAAATTTATTTGAAATACCAAAACAAGGTCGAATAAGACGTCGATGAATTTATTAACCTTTGTCACAAGACTCAACCTTTCTCAGAAAAAAAAATATGCAGATAAATCAAATTATTATGCCTAGTTTTCAGCAAATTTTAGTCATAATATATTGGGACTTGAAGTCAAGATACAAACTATAGCCCCTTTGTTTTTGCAGAGGTTTAAAAACTGAACTTTTACTGTGACTCCATGATTTGGGACGACGATTTGTTCTCTAACTCGATTAAATGCATGTATTCCAATGGAAAACTTTGATCCTAAAACCATGAAGAGATCTACATCTATAATTACGAGTTGATGTTTATTTAATAATAAGCTGATCAAAGTAATTTTGTTTTTGAGAATTTAAAAATAAACCTATATAATCCGATAAAAAAAACTTCTGATCCTTAAGAGACTCCACTCAAACCTCGATGGGCTATAATTGAACCGACTGGAATCTATATATTAATATGACTGAGTGTTTCCTTTCATTTTGGAAAAAGATATGTTCATAGACTTTTTTGTACATTAAAATATAAAACTTTGTTAACCTAGTGTGGACCAAATTGCTCCAGGAGCAATGATTTGAACAAAGTTTGAACTTGAATTAGGAGATTTCCATACTTATACGGGTATGACTAAGGGTTGCTCTTCTGTTTTCGACAAAATATTTGATTTTTTTCTATGTATTCAATGTTGAACCCAATTGCAACCCCTACCTGGCCCCAGGGGCGGTATTTAATAAACATGAATTTTGGAAAGTTATTTGGGATGTTTGTATGTTAAAATAACTTGGTGGAGTCCCTGTGGTCATGGGATTTGTTTGTTTTTTTATTTTAGAGATTTTTCACAAAATTCTTTATCATTTCCCCTTGAAAGGCATGCGGTCTTTAATCTTTTTAACTTGAGTCCATTACACCCATTCTTTGTGCAAATTTGGTTGAAATTGGTCCAATGGCTCTTTAGGAGAAGTCAAAAGATATTCATAAAAAAAAACAAACAACAGACAGACGACGGATGAACTTTGACCGTAAAGGCTCACATAAACATTCAGCTCAAACAAGTAAAAACTAGACAATACCAAACATATTACGCAAGGGAACAGGTAGGAGGAGCTCCATTCCAACTTCCGGTGATAAGACACGTGAGTATCGCAACATCAGATAAGTTGAATCCTGGTGCGCAGGAAAAGGCGGCTGATGCATTTACGGGCAAATGCGGCATCACAGCGACTTGTGTGAGGTGAGGATGCGTTATAGTTACAGTGCCATTTTTTGGATTATCAAGAATAGGACAATATACCTCTGAAAAGTGAAAAAAAAATGGACCTTAAACTACCGAAGAAAATTCAAAGTTAAAAAATGATTAAAATTTCTTAAAACAAGGTTAGCATAGTTATATTTTGCTTTTAGAATGCATCACCTGAGCATGCTGCAGCACTACCGCTCCAATTTCCAATGTCTAAACAGGTTCGAGTGAGATTACCCCCCGTTATTACAAAGCCTGGATTACAACTGTAAACAGCCTCGTCATTGACAGATCTACCGGAACTTAAAACAACAGTGCCATCTGTCGGATCCGTTAACGCAGGACATAGAATCTCTGTGACACAAATGATACAGTTAGGTACATTCTCCATTTGATCTCTGGGCAATTCTTTACAAATATTCCAGTGCGTATATATTCATAAGCATACCATCTATGATGGTGTAGAATCTTTATCATAATTATTGCCCTTGATATTTCATTTACATGTAATCCAGATAAACTTAATCTCAGGACGAAGACATCTTTAATTGAAAAGCATTCGACCAGGCAAATCTTCTGCCTCAATTTGACTTTCAACTACTACAAAGTTGACTGAATAAAAAACGAAGATAGTCTTTTTACTTTTTCGAGAAGATGTAGATGTAATTAAAAAGGCTTAAATGTAATGCATGAAAATTGTTTCATAAAATTTTTTACATTACACTTCCAAGTAGCTACTGATGTAATTGTTTACGATCACCTGAACATACGGGTGGATCCCCACTCCATGTGCCGTTTGGTAAACAAAATCTGCTTAGATAAAATCCAGTGTCACAAGAATATACCAATTCTCCATCCACCGTCCTGTTTACAGATACAACTGTGCTATTTTCAGGAGCATCAACATCTGGGCAAAACGTTTCTGTATAAATGAAAACAATGGTGCCTAACTGTAACTTCATTTGTTTTAGTGAAAAAACTTCCAAATAAGTAATTGCAACGATTTTGAAATTGGTTTATTGGCTCATAAAACTTTTTTTAAAATGGAAAATAATGACTTATCCTTGAGCTCAGAAAATGTGAAAATAAAATGATGTGAACTTTTGTTTAAGGACAGATGATACAAACAATAAATGAATGCCTGGATGGGTATATTTTTTTGTTGTCAATAGTGCAAATATTAAATTTCTAAGAAATGAAGAAATTGTAAACTTTCTACATGTAGGATGTCTTTCTGCAACCATCCTTATTAATCTATGCACCCTTTTTGTCTCTTTTGAAAAAAAATCTATGCGATTAAACTTATTCATTTTACTTAAATAAATATGACTTAAGCTTTTGTTTTCATGGTTTTTGATAAAAGTTTGTATCATCTGTCTTTTAGGGGGTTTTCTAGTGAGTTTTCCTATAGTATTATGCGAATTTACAACTGCAAGATTACATGTGCTTTATGATGATTGGATGAAAAATTTTATACTTTTTTACGGAACAACTGGTCCAATTTCAAGCAAACTTTTAATAATGTTTATATATTAGAAAGCTTGAGGTACAGCTGTATAGGGATCTCAAGGAATTCAATTTATACGGATGAGAGAAGAATATAATTTCTTTTTCAAAAATGTTTTTAAAAAAGAGGTTATAGGAAGGATCCATTTGGTATAGGTTATAGGAAGGATCCATTTGGTATCCAACACATGACCAATGGGCTAGTTTAGGGCTCAACTGGGGGTCAATGTTTAAAAAGAAATACATAAGGAAGTATTGACTGATTGATTGTATGTTGTTTTACCTCCCGTTCTGGAATTTTTCACTCATATAGAGGCGTCACCATATACCGATGGAGAGCTTCAATTTAGACCTTTACTCGGCACTCAGGGCCATTAAGCAGTCTTTTTCGTGCCAACGCCTACCGTGAGAACAGGCCTCGGGTTTTAAGGTCTCATCCGAAGGGCCCGCAACTTTCACTTCAAAGTGCCGAGTGATTGGTAGAGGAACAGTCGCTACCTATTTTTTTTTTTTATCGACTTAGGTCAGTCACGACCGAGCGACCGAGAAAGTATTGAAAAATTTCCTCTCGAGAAGGCACGATGAGTTAAATTAACATGCAAGCAACCCCAAAAGGAAAGAGTCAACTATGTTCAATTTATGGTTCAAAGGCAAGGGATAGTAGAAATTTTAAATAGAAAATTATACAGAGATACATAGGAAATCTTCCAAAGAACAAAAGGGAAACAATTTTTCAAATCAATTTCAAAGCATTTTCATTTTCAATTTTGTGTAGCTTCAATTTCTTCAAGTCATCATCAAATGTCTTTTCTAAAAGCAGGACCATATTTTGTGAAATATATTTTGTCAAAAATATAATTGCAAGCATTTCTTTACGGGGGCGTTGAAGAGATCCAATATTTTAAGAAAAATTCTCAAGAACAGCAGGGTAATATTATAGGTCAAATAAATATACAAGTGTAATGAATAAGAATTAGCATTGTGGATTGAAATAGATCTTGAATCATCCAGCCGAATCATGTATATGAAGCTAATCAGCATTGAC